CATTTTAAAAGGAATTAGGAAGACATAAGCCTTCTTTGATAGAATGAATTGTCCAAATGGTTATAAAATAATTCTTGCCTTAAGCCAACCAATAATCTCTTCCAATCATTAAGGTAAAAATGAGTCATTTGGTTATTCTCTTTTCCTTTCTAGGAAAACTTAAACATGAGTGTAATTTATAAAAGGTACAAAGCAAAGGTAGCAAGCCAGCTGGAAAAGTGGGAAACCAAATGTTGTCACCTCAAAGGCTTATACCAGGAAACATCCTTATTCCAAATGTTTGGAATTTCATTCCAAGGAAAGTGATCAGGGAAGCCTATAATGGCGACCCTTAAATTCAGGCTTATATTCAAGAACCCAATTTGGGGGGAAAGGGCAGATTAAAAGTGAAAGTGAGAAACATGACAATAACTGATGAATGGAAAGAAAGTTCTGATATCCCTTTTTGTTTTCTCTTGATCTCACTCTAGCAGAGCCTCCAGGATGTTGCCAAAAAGAGTTAAGATGTCAGAGGAATTAAACCAGTACGGAGTTAAGAGTCCTGAACTGGGAGGGATCTTAGAGATGATCTATTCTATCTTATCAATTGATGAATCAATAGAGGCCAGGCCCTCAGCAAGTAAACAACAGAGTTGGGTTCAGAATTCAGACTTCCTTGTTCCTATTTCAGTGGGCTCTTAATGTTACCCTCCAAAACGAGGGACAAAAAGAAACACTATTCTCAACACTGGCCTTCCAATATTTCAGTTGCTTAGGCTTTGTATACAGAACAGAAACCAAACAAGTGTTACATATAGTTGATTATTGTTAATCACAGTAGTTATGGAGTATAAAGTTGCTAGGAATGCTGAATTATTGAATATTGAAAATTGTCTCATAGTGGAAATATAGTTTTAATTTCCTCCAAGCCTCTGGTTACAACATGTTCATCTACTGATCAATACATAACCTTGTTTTATTTGTACTTCTGTTTAAATATACCTTATTTAATATATATTGTTGATCCGTTAATATTGAACTCATGTCCAGTAGCACAATAACGCATGCCTGAAGGAAACTCATCTCCATAAGGCACACCACAGGCTTCTTATGATTTGGAACACTAGACAGGTACTTCAGCATACACTTAGGGCCCATTAAAATAGCTACATCACCAAGAAAAAGCACAGAAAAGTGAAAAACATGGCACTAAATAACCATGAGGAGGATAATTGTTTATAGTGTAAAAGCTGAAAGAAGGCAAAGCATCACCTTGTTTGACCTCAGTCAGAACACTCGAATTGGATGACTCCAAGTTTTTGCCACTGCGAGCATGTATGCAAATGACCAAAGCACTGTGAGTCTTGACTTTGGGGTTATAAGTAAATTTTAGTGAGTATGCAAATTTGCAAATACAGAATCCATAAGTAATGAGGGTCAATTCTATTGTTGTGGATGATACAGCTTTACTTTTTTCCCATTCAAAGAAATCTTGATACCTAGGATGTTGCCAGATTAAATGGACAATAAAAATGCCTCATAATCTTCCTGCTTAGAAAATGTTCATATATATTGTATATTTTATGCCTAGGAAATCCCTAATACACACATCCAGGGATAGTGGATTTTTTTTTCCTTTGCTGCATAGGCTGGCGGCCATTTCAGTTGTAACATGCATGTTCAATGATAAAAGATAGGGATAAAGCAAGTATATGATCTAGACAAAGTATCTTTTAAGTCTTCTGATACCATTATACAAAACAAGATACAAAAAATAAATATAATTCCAAACTGTTTTAAAAATAAGGGAAAAATAGAAGGGTATACATTGGAAAGTGTTAAACTATCAGTTGTGAATTTGTTGCAGATAATTTAAATTTTGCCCTTTGTGCCTTTTTATATTTTTAAAACATGCTTCTATAAACATGTGCTACCTTAGTAAATTAAAAAGCCAACATAAACACTATTTTTAAGAGGTACGTGAGATTTTTACCCTATATTAAGCCATACCCAGAACAGGTCAGAATCCATCTCTTTTTGTAAAACAAAGTTTCTCTAGAAAATATAATGATTCTGAATTTTTAAAATCTTTCTGATTCTTTTTCTAATTTTTCATTCCCTTCATCTTCTTTTCTCAATTTATTTTCCTTCTGTTTTTCTATTTTCTCTCTGAAAGTACCCATCAGCATCATCAGATAAATTTGCTATCACACTAGTCTAGAGCTTCCCTGGGTGTCCCATGTCAGCATTCAGTATTTGAATGGCTGCAAGACTCAGACAGTAGTCAGCTGAGAAGACTAGAGATGAAAGCTGAAACAGATAGAGGAAGAGGTGGTAAATGGTCAAGCCTAGTTCCCAAGGAGACCAGAAGCAACAGACCCAGAGGTTCTAGGAGCAAAGGTGGAAAGGAAAACCTTGAGACAGGAAGTGAGGTTGGGTATTATTGAAACAATGTAAGCAGAAGAGAGTGAAAAGATAATCTCAACAGTATTCAGAACTAGTACTTCTGACTTCCCCTTTAATAGGAAGCAAGGTCATCTGTTTGCAGTTAAGCAGGGAGGAGTTTGGATAGGGCTCTGGGAGAGTGGCGAAGGTATGAAATAATAGGTTATGAGAGCAATAAGCAGGACATCTATTCAAAATCAAGTGAAAAAAGTGCTGATGAGCGCCAAGGATCCAGCTGCAACTGGAAATCAATCCTTTTGGCCATCTCTCTCCACAGTTAAGCAGTATTCTCCAGCAAGCATGTGAGCAGATGGTCAGTTCCATCCCTGGCCCCATTTTCTCTTGTGTATTACCACCTGAACTTTGCTTCCTCCTTTCCCTAACCAGCCTGCACTCCAAGTTCCCTCACTTGTAATGCTTAGTAGCCAACATCCTCAAACCTCTCTCTCTTTTGGCTTCCTGTGGCTTCCGCTTTGCAATTCTCAAACCATAGGTCAATCAGAATAGAAGATGAGAGTGATTAGTGTTTAGTTTTAACCTTATGAAATTGCCACTCTTACATGTCAGACATGATTAAATATCTGAGAATGGCATAGCATTACCAGCTTCAGAATGCTAAGAGATGTGTACCCTTGTATGAATGCTTGGAACTGGTGGAGAGTCCCAGGAGGCATCAGGACCTAGTTAGCAGCAGCTGCCCGGGTCAGTCTATCTGGAAGCTTCCTCCATCTCTGCATGGAGGAAGGGAAGTTCTCAAGCATGATTAGGGCTCTAGCAAGAAACCTACTCTAACGTTTCATATTTTGTATTATTTCTTCCTGGACAGGCACAGTGTAAAGTTGTCAAGGATACAAACAAAATTCAAAACAAGAATGATGGGAGAAGAGGGCTTGGGAGGAGCTGATTAAAAAAAATAAAGAAGAAAAAAAAAAAAAACACCCCGCACAATGAGGCCTTGATTAGAAATGACAAATGTAGCAGTTGTTCTAACTAAAATTAAGGACAAAATATCAAAACAGATGTTTTCTTGTGTTAGGCTCAGAGTTTCATTTTTCATATGCTCCATAACTTCCCTCACTGATCCATTCCTTTACAAATATCCTATTAGTCTCTCACCTAGCCCAAAGTTGTACTATATAAATCCCGAATGTCCTGAGATAACTGAGACCACCTTAACTGTGAAAATTCTACTATTGAGAAATTAGGAGAAACTTGAGAGAGAAACTTTCCAAACTCCCTAGAAGTGAGATTAATATGCAGATTAGTATAATGAAGAAATGACTCAAAACTCTTCAGATGTTAATGAAAGTTAATCCTATGGTGGCAATTGACAGATACTATAATCTTTGAGGAAGGACTAGACAATAATATAATAAATAAAAAATATTAACAGAAAATGCTTTAATTAACAATATCAATACAGTATCATAAATGACTTTTTCTAAACACTGGGAATACATTGTTTGAAATAATTATCTCAAACCATTTGTGAGATTGGTTTATTCTAGCTAGAAAACTGAGACTGAGAGAGAAAGGTTTTGCTCACGGTCACTCAGATAGTATAACTGTGATTAGAACCTTCATCTGTTGGCTCCAAAGCCAATGCCCATTCCAATCTCTTTGCCGGAGAACCACTGTGCGTGACTTTGTGGCAATAAAGGCCCCTCAAGAATAGCATGGGTCTTCTGAGAAGCAGAATGTCTCTCTTAAGAGGAGAGGAAGAGTACCCCAGTGGACTTCTTAAATCAGAGACATTTCTTTCTTCTCATCACGACCAAAATCTAAGTGTCTGCAGAAAATTAAAACTAGAAAATTCATAAGGGCCCTACTAATGTTCTTAAGAAGAAAGCCTTAATGGGAACTAGAAGAGGAAAAGCCCTATAGTGAGCTGTCAGGGAATTAATGAGAGACACAGCCTGTCTAATTTTTATGCAAGCAAACACCATCACAAATGCTTTCAAAGGTCAAGCTGCAGTGAATGAGGTAATGCTGTTTGGAAAGCGAAGTAAACATTACTTTTGTTTTGCTCTAAGATGTTTTCTTTTTCGTTTTTGTTTTCCTTTCCTTTCTCTCTCTCGGTTTTTTGTTCTTTTAAGTCAAAATTGTTCTCATCACCCCATTTTGCCCAGTCTCTGCAAAAAACATTTTATAGCCCCCCTTCAGCCTGCAGAGTTTCTCAAGGCCCTTCTGCTTGAGCAGGCACTATTTTCTTACAAAGCTGGAGATTTTTAGAGTGTGGAAAATGACGTTGGATTTGACTTGGCAGAAACAAGGGGGCAGAGAAGGTAAGGGAGGGGGAGAGAAGGGAAGGAAGGGTCTCCTGTCAAAATATCCTTGACTTTTAACCAATAACATGGCACAAGTTAAGCATTTTCATAGATAGTCTTAACAGTTTTACAAGATTTTTTTTTTCTCTTTTTCAAAATGTGCTTTCAACAGTTATGCTGTTTTCAAATGAACTGAAAGAAGTACTGTGTTCAGAAGGGACAAGGATGGGCTATAGCATATGACTGGAGAGATACAAAAGCTGCTTTATTTAAATGTATGTTTGCCCTGGCAGGAATCTGGAGACCTACCTGTACATAATCCACACTTCGTCCCAGTGCTCTGAATGCCGTGTACATGACTTCTCTTTTTCCACCCCATTTTTGCATGATGCAAACACTTTTGTTGGACAAGACCAACTGGGTTACATGTTGTGAGCTTTCTTTATGTGATTCATCCGTCTCACCAGGACCCTTTTCGTGAAAGTTGTTCTTCCAGATATAAGTGGCTGAACTGTCCCTGCCCATGACTTCACTGAAGATGTCCATCATGTAAATGTCATCTTCCGAGTTCCCATCTATGACCATGACAACTTTAATCCCAGGGTAGGTTAGCCTTTTCACAGATTGCAAACATTTCCTTAAGTAGTCTGGATCTTCTTGATAGGCAGCGATGCAAAGAGCAACTGTTTTGTTCAACTTAATGGGGGTTTCTAGGGATTTTTTCATTTTTCGATGCTCCAAAAAAGCAAACAGGCTTTGGATGATGAGGTGTGATGCTAAAAAGGCACCGTACAGTCCAAAAGAGAAATAGTAATTATCCGTTTGGATAAACTGGTAGCCAACAATGTAAGCAGCTGTGATTCCAAGGAGGAGAGAGACTCCAAAAAGTGTGGTTCCAATTATTCTCAGGATACATATAAACCTCTCACAATGCATCTGTAACATAATCAAACAATACTCTTGGTTAACTGCTGTTGTTCCACGCTTGTTATATACATGGCATCATGGGGAAAGCATTGGAATAGAAGCATCCAGGAGTTCTAACACTGATTTACTCACTTAACTCACTGTGTGACTCTCTGCACCTCAGTTTGCTCATCTGCAAAATGGGGATAAAGATGCTCTTCTGGCACATTTGAGAGGGTTGTTTCATTAATCAAATGAGATTATGTTAGAAGGGCACTACTGAAAACCATATGTATTAAATACCTAGATGCATTGCTTTTACTATGTTAGATCATTTGTCTAAGGCTACACTCTGTGTATGTGGTCACAGCTAGGCATGGAACTTAAATGTCCCAACACCCAAAGCAACCATTCTTCCTGCACCATGTAGTCACCTCACCCCTCGATACTGACCAGTAAAAATACATAGGCGATTTTGCTAAATTTCTCATTTGTAATTTCATCTCATTTCCAAAGTAAATTCCTCAACTTACATTCTTTCCATGCAGCCAGATGAGACTGAATTCTAGTAATAGCTCATCAATTAGCTGTATGCCCTTGGGTGAGTCACCATACCTCCCTGGGCCTCATTTTTTTTTTTAATCTGTTAAATGAGGGATTTTAGATTTGATTATTTCCAAAGTCCCTATGGACATTAAAAAATCCTCCATCCCTAGGTATCCTTCATAGATATCTATCAAAACCCCTGTAATTCTGAATTGTACTCCTTTGTTCAGACATCTGTCACCTCCATCCAACATCACCAACACTAGATAGTTAGATCCTAGATAGTAAACACACAATAAATGTTTTTAGAAATAATGAATAAATTAAAGAATAACAACATGTTGAATTTCAGCAGGTGAGGTTCCATCCTATGAAAACCTGTAGCACATTAGACCTGAGAATCATTTCTACTCAATAATAGCCAGTTTTGCATTCATCCCTAAATTTTGTGTATCTTCTGAAAAAAGTTCTAAACAACACAAAGAAAGGAGGACCACTTTTCTGTATTTCCCAATGCATTTCCAATGCTGAGCACTGAAGTGGTGTTTGGGAAACCTTTTTTATTTTTCCCTCTGAAGTTTTAATTTTCTTCTCTTCCAGGAATTAACTATCATAAAAAACATAATTGATATGAATACAGTGTCTCCATCCTTAGTCTTTCACATCAACATTAGGGTTTTTGTCATATTCACATCTATTTAGTACTTAATCTTTTTCTTTAATTCACTTTATTTTTAAAAGTCAAATACATTTTCAATGCAAACTTAGGCTAAGCAATTAATCTCTGCAAAACCTCTTGCTTGATAGGCTATTTATATTTTCCTAATCCACATTCAAACTTGAAATTGCATGTCCACATAGAACCTACCCTCTTCTTGGCTGTTCAGAGTTGCATGGCCACTGCTTTGCTCAGCTCCAGAGGCACTGTTCACACAGTCACACGCTATTCCCTGTAACTGTACACTGAGGTGATCCTGAGTGGGCATGCATTATGTTTCTAGGAAACTTCAGTGTGTCTGCTTACCAACTGTGTTCTCTGTCCTTCCTGAGCACAGACTACATGGTGTGGTCACGGCATTCCAAGTTTTGGAAATCTGAGACATGCCACTTCCAGTAGGGTCTTTTAAGAGAGAGAGTATGCCTCCTCTTATAACTCTTTCCCTTTGGCAGCCTTGCTACACATATCAGCAAGGTTCTAGGGGATTTTCAGAGCCCCAAGATAGACAGTTTGGTCCCCGAATTGCCATATGGAAAGCAGCCACCACCAGTTAGGAATACCTGCCTTGGACTCTCATGTTAGCAAGAAATAACTTCTGAATTTTTCTTTGTTTACCCACTATGCATTTTGGGGATTCATTCACTCAACTAGTATATTCTAGGTAATGCAAAGCAGCCTAGAGATCAGAATTCTAGCTTGTAGGCATCATTTTCCTTTGATAAAAGGAAATAATAATACTTGTCAAAGATGCTTCCCAGGGCTGTCGTGAGGAGCAAAAGGAAATAATGTTTGTGTAAGTGTTTTAAAAAAACCAGAAACACATTGCAATTTAAAGTATCAGTTAACTAGGAAGCTAAAAAGCAAACAAAATGAAAAACAAATTTCTGTTCTACTTCTAGCAGCCTATGTCTAGGACACCATAGCATGGAGTAGGGGAGAATGATAAAGTGACCACAATGCAAACAGGAAGTTCATATTGCAGAGGAATGGTGAAATGCTGAGTTCTGAGAGAAAGGCAATAAGCACCTCTTGTTAATTAACACAGCTGAGGGGATGCTGAAAACTCCCAAATGGTACATTAACCAATGCCCGAAGGTGCTGGGAGCACCAGACTTGGAACTTGTCATTTCCAAGATGTGAGTCATTCTCACAAGAGTGAAAAATTTCAAGGGGACTAAAACACTTTGCCAGGGAGAAGCTTAAGAGTGTGTTTAGCTTGTGTTTAAAATCACCATAGCCAGCAAAAGAACTGCCTGCCATTCTTTTCCATTATTCACATTTTCCTTGCTTTTATCAGCACACGTGGACATAGAGAGTGTTGACATAGCATCTGCTGGCCACAGCTGAAGTGGGAACGCCCTCTTACATCATAGGCGTCTACAGAATGTCCTTTTGAAGCTTGGGAAAACTGCAGCAACGTGGCTAGAATTGAACCTTTATATTTCGGTGAGATCTCTCAGTGTTGTCTAGTATGACACACCCAGCACAGGCCAGGGGGCAAAAGGCACACTTTAAAGCCAGCTTTACTGAGCGGAATACATTGATCTCAGAGAGTGACACCCAGGATGTGTCTCTTTATAATTTCCCTGGGGCGATTTCACAGATATGGGCACCATATGTGTTAGACTTTCTGAGACAGTCCCCCATACAAATACTCTGTTTCATAAGCATACTCTTCTTTTCAGACATATGGCTTTATTGCTATGTTGGAAAATAGGGTTAGTTCAATCCTAGATCATAAGTGCTCACTGCTAGATAGAAATATTTAGAAATTTATGTTCCATAAAGTATAAAACTCGATTATTTTTTGCCCAGGATCAGACTTTGACCTATTATATACCAATTATTTACAAACTACTATTCTCCAACAGAATTTTTGGCCAAATAAAGTATTAAAGAATGGTTTGATACACTCTAATGTAAGTTCCACAAAGTTAATAGAGATTATATATATGCGCACGCGCGCATGTGTGTGTGTGTGTGTGTGTGTGTGTGTGTGTCCCAAGGGCATGAAATATTTTTTTCTGGCTTATAGTTGGTCTTCAGTAAATATTTGTTGAATGAATGAATGTCACTTTATTCATCTACATTATCATCATAATCATCATTGTTATAATGGAAGCTAACATTTAATCATTATTTATTAGTTTTCAGGTGGTGGGGCAAGTGTTGTTTTTTTAATAGCATGATCTTGTTTAATTTTAATGACTTTGGGTAGTAAATATATTATTAATCTCATGTTACAAATAACACATGAATATCATGAGGAAAACAAGAGTTTGATTATTTAAATAACTTGCCCCAAATCACAAAATCAGGAGTTGGATCCACACAGTGGCCTGATGCCAGATGATCAGAGTATCCCCAATAAATATTTACTGGATATATTTAAATCCTCGTGACAACATATATGGTATTCTTTTGTTTCTGGCTAACAAAACCGTGTTATATAAGGAATGATTGCGGAAACACTTTGAAAGTTGTTTCCCTGCTCTTATAGAATATGCAAAATTAGCACTTACTCAAGTACAATATAGGCCCAATGGTGAGAAGATTTCAGGGCTCAAGTACTTTCCTAAGTGGGTACAACCTAACCAGAGAGGGAAAGGGGCTATTTCAAAGGAAGCTGTTGGTTCCATCTGTAGTGCAGCAATTCTCCTTACTGCCAGCAGCCAACATCCTGTTTTACCATTTAAAAAAAAAAAAAAAGGTACTACTGTTTCCATAGCTTTTACCTGTGGAGCAGATAGAAAGCCTTACTGTTAGCTCATATACCCCAAATGGAACTCTTTGGGTCATTGGACATTGGAGCATTTTCCTCCCCTTTGACCTTTTTATTAAGCATTGAGGAAAATGTTGCATGAAGAGAGAATAACAGCTGCTCTCACTGCCCTAGTGCAGTGGTGAGAACTGAGTTCCCACAGTTTTCATAAAGTATTCCTTCTATTTTAGATCTGGGAGAAGCTGAAGTAGATTCAAATGTGTTGAGTCAGCATCTAGGAAAGTCTGCAGAGATTAGGTCAGATGCTACCTCTTCTGGGAGGTCTTAGCTTGCCACTGTTTTCCAAAGGACTCCTCCACCCTGCCCTCTCTTCACATCCCTGCCACACTCTCTCCCCTTACCCTGCCTGATTTTCTCACTAGTATCTATTTACACTCTATGGCTGCAGGGTTTGTGTGGCTCAATGACCCTTTGTGGCCCTATACCAAAAACAAGGTTTGGCACATAGTAGGTACTCAATGAATACATTTTGAATCAATGAATTATGAATAAATCCATTTGAATTCAAGCAGTCAATGCAGACTGATAGGCACAGGTCCCCTGTCTTAATTGCAGGGGTAGTGAATATACGCTGAGAGCCAAACAAGCCCTTCAGGGCACCCCTCATCAAGCCATTTTTTTTTTTTTTTTTTTTTTTTTTTTTGAGACAGAGTCTCACTTTGTTGCCCAGGCTAGAGTGAGTGCCATGGCGGCAGCCTAGCTCACAGCAACCTCACACTCCTGGGCTCAAGCGATCCTACTGCCTCAGCCTCCCGAGTAGCTGGGACTACAGGCATGCGCCACCATGCCCGGCTAATTTTTTCTGTATGTATTAGTTGGCCAATTAATTTTCTTTCTATTTATAGTAGAGACGGGGTCTCGCTCTTGTTCAGGCTGGTTTTGAACTCCTGACCTCGAGCAATCCACCCGCCTCGGCCTCCCAGAGTGCTAGGATTACAGGCGTGAGCCACCGCGCCCGGCCAAGCCATTTTTTTTTCTTTAAAA